CTAACCCTAACCCTAACCCTAACCCTAACCCTAACCCTAACCCTAACCCTAACCCTAACCCTAACCCTAACCCTAACCCTAACCCTAACCCTAACCCTAACCCTAACCCTAACCCTAACCCTAACCCTAACCCTAACCCATCCGCTCCCAAGCACATGTCGGGCGGCTGATGACTTCGGAGCTTCGTAGTGCGGCCGGGAGGAGTGGTTGGTCGCAGGTGCTCTCAGACAAAGCGACGCGCCACAAACTAGAGCCATTGCCAGTAAGTGTCAAGCGCTGACAGACGACATTCGGTTCCCAAAGATCCTCTGGGGTCTTCAAATGTCGCGCCCTGCGACCACACTTAGCACCCTTGCTTCCTAGTGTAGTACCATCTCGCCCATGCGCGTGAATATAATGTCGCTGGATTGCTTTACGAGCAGATTGAATTACGTGGCATCGTTGTCCCGTACTAGGATCAAGGTATCGGCAATGGAAAGCGTAGACGGTACGGAGCTGTGGTATGGGCGCGGGGAGTACGAACGGGGAGGACCAATTTCGCAGGTCATCTTCGTTGCGAATTTTGACTGGGCGGCTTGATAGATGGAGAGCTTTCCACGCTTCCACTGCATCTACACAATCTTTATGATTGTAACAGTGGTGTCCTGTAGAGCTGAAGTGCGTGGGTACACGGGAGAGAGGGAGAGCAACGCGACAAGATTTGCAGGTAAGGAAGAAGTATGGCTCCGCAACATAGTCGATCAATTGCTCTAACTTTTCAGCTCGAAGAGACTGCAACTGAGAGTTAGGAAGCTCTCGAGAAGACGTAAACATCGTAGTTATAGGCAAAATATCGTACAGGCGGATTAAGGTGATTGGTACGTGATAGTGTATTCGTGTTTATTCGCAAAGTCATTTGATGTTGAGTTAACATCTAAATTATACTCCGAAATTACCCCGGTTCACCTGGAAACCCTCACTACTAAGCACAGGGCAATAACGCAGGGGGGTTTGGAGAGAGGATAACATTAGGGAGGCAATTCGCGAGGGCGACTATTGCCCTCAAGAAGTCCCTCTTATCACTATAGGGAGATATAGATAGAAAACTTTCCTAAGTAGCTCTAGCTAGCGCTTCTACATTATCTTCCTCTGCTAATAGATACAACCTTGGTTTCTGTCGAATAATTTATGGAGTTAGGGTTAACTTAGGGTTAAGCCCTAAGCGCGACTCTCAGTGAGCACAGGCCACGCCCACGAACACCAACTCTCGACCAGACTTTATCTAATAACTTACGCTATATCTCTTGTAGTATTATAAAAGCTAGTACGTTAGATGCGCGCGAGTTATCTGTACCATATACTTAAATTACAGCTGTTTTCCATAACTGACGACTAAGGAGAAGGGTTTGTTCCAAATCTTAGGGAACAAGCCCCCTGCGAACCAAGAGCGCGGGCCACAAAAATGGAACAAAGGTTTGTTCTCTATGGAATAACTGTCAGGCTTAGTACTTTTTAAAAGTAATCTAATTCTAATACTCTTTAGATTACTTAGTATAGTCCTAGTACTTCTTATATAAGATAATCTAACTTTAGTACTTCTTAAAATATTATAACTTTTGTAAGGGGCTGCGCTCTAGGGAGCAATCGCGAGGTATACAAGAGGTTGTATTCGATAAGGAGCTATCTACTCTGCTTACGTGGTGTTTATTTACTTATCAGAGAAAGGTTATGCCGGAGTATCTGAGCGCGTTGTCTGAGCGCTGCTCGGTCTGAACGTAGTTCAGATGGTGCGCGCGCAGCTTGGCCCGAGATTCCATCGAGGAGCTATCCAAAGGGCGTTCAGCCCGTTACAGTCCCTACTTATATACTAAACTAGGTTCTAGTACTACTTATATAGACTTAAGAAATCCCTTTAGTTTTAGAAATACTACCTTAATGTTACAGGAACAAGTAACAAGAAGGATTCTCTCCTTGACAAGTGACGAGATGGCTGAAGGCCTATGGACGCCCACGTCAGAAGGTAA